GGCCGGCCGGGGCTCCGGGGTCGGCCGGGCCCTCGGCGGGAGGGCGCTGGAAGCCGGGGGCGAAGGGAGCGCCTGGGGGGCCGAGGCGGCGGGAGGCCCGGCCGTGCGGCGGACAAAGCGTCCGGGCTCCTTGTGCGCCGAGCGGGTCTGCGGGAGGAAAGCGGCCTGGGGCAAGGCTCTTGCGATAAAAAGGAGCCGGTTTCCCTAAGGGCGATGTGTGCGTTCACACCGCGCCTGTGACCCTTCTGGCTGTTAAAATTGCCGGCCAGGGGGACTGTGTGTCCCCTTCGCAAAAACTCGGATCATCTGCGGAACTTGAATTGAGATGTACCGAAGGATTCCCGCGGGGCTGGCGGCTGGTCCGTGTGCTGTTATGATGTTGCGCTGTTCCCGCTCCAGGCGCGGTGGGTGCGCCAGCAGGGCGCTCTGAATTCAGCTGGGCTCTGAGAAGGAGCTGACGCTAAGCGCAAGGCCGCGTGCGGAACGGGCCAGTTTGTAAGCGACGCCGTAGGTCTGCACTAAACACCTTGAATTTGTCGTTATACCCTTCCTTCCCGGTTCATCTTCCCCACCGATAACGAAACTGAGAAGCACAGTGATATTAAGCCAATTTTCTCGGTATTGTAACCGAGACTGAGCATTGCTCGGATGAAGTGGTTGTAGGGACAGTTACATTGTTGAACCATTCTCTGTTTTGTATGTTGATGCCCCGTGAGCATCTGTAGAAACTTAACGGGTGAACGGATCGATCTCACTAAAACATTCTCTTTTACTGATTTTCACAGTCTGGTATGATGGTTGTGAATCCAGTACGGTTACTGTTTGGTTGGTGATACCGTTGTCCTGGTGGACTGATACTCGGTGCTGAAAGTGGAAGCTTGTTCTTTGGAACCTGTTAAGCAGAATACTAACAAAGTATGTTGTTTGATGAGAAAATGGGTATTGGCTTCCAATGTGATTCCGCACCGAAGGACAAATGCAGTCTAGCATTAGTAATATTGTGCAAAACTCTGGTTTGGGCTAGCTGGAATGTTATACGCAAGTCTGCATACTTTTTTTTTTAAGAACAACTAGCTACAGTAAAAAGCTGTTTACATGGTCAGCAGAGTGAAGAGTGGAAATCAGAAATGCTTAAGTGGTCTATCCAAGTGAAGCTGAAATGAAATGGAGTTGCTGACTGTAAATGTGAAAAAAAGAAAATAACTTCAAGATGAGGGGCAGCGGTTGCAGAAAAGCGTGTGTAAAAAGTCTGGTTAGTCTGAATTTTGAATACGTTTCCCGTGATTGAGTTTTGCAGCAGCCTGTCAGGCAAGCTAGCGGGATAAAAAGTTGCTCTTCTAAAGCTTGTCTCTATGAAATACATTGCATCTTGCTAGCTGTAATAACATGGAGCTACGCTAGAGGACACACAGGCTCACTCCTCTCCTTGTTGTCTGAGGGTTTGGGATTAAGGTTGAGGAAAGTGAACCTGGGCAGAGTTTGCTGCTGTGTGTTGGTAGTATCCCTTCCTACACGGATTCGTTTTCTTCAACAAGGTTTTGGGAGACACTCATGCTGTCTGAGAATGGACTGTGAGTGTTTTCTTTAAGAGGTATAAAGTACACATTCAAAACCTACAGAAGTATATGTATATGTATAATGATATGTAACAATACTTAGTAATAATATTTCTCATGTACTTACTAGCAAATGATATTTGGTGTTTCAGTATTATTTGTTTTCAAGACACTTTCACTTGTGCGTGCCACAGATCTGTATCTTTATTTGCAGGTTCGAGTGGAAGGCTTTAACTACATTGGCATGGGCAATTCCACTAACAAGAAAGATGCACAGAGCAACGCTGCTCGAGACTTTGTCAATTACTTGGTTCGGGTGAATGAAATGAAGAGAGAAGAAATTCCTGCTTTTGGAGTAAGCTGCTCTTTCTCCTTACCCAAGGCTAATCTTTAATTGCAGTGCTGTGCATCTGGTTGCATTTCATCCCTGGAGTTCAGCCTGGCACCCGTGTGCAGTGAAGACGACTGAAAGTGTGGGACTTCCACTTGCAGTGCTGGGAAGCTGGAATATATACAGTGAATGTTGTAGGCTGATCTGGTAAAAACAGCTGCGTGTTCGTCTGTATAACTGATGAGGCTGGAGAGAATTCAGAGTCCCTGTAAAGTGCAGCCTGATGTGAATACTGAATATTGTGCTGAATACTTACACCTGACACTGGGAATTGTTTTAAATGCATGCTATGATATATAATACTATGTACTTTTTAAAAAAAAAAATCACGTCTCAAACCAGACATTGAAAACTTGGCTTTTTTTAAACAGTGAATGCTTTCTGCCTTACCTCCGATGTGTAATAGGATCACTGCTTTTTATGATGTTTTATGAACCATGCAAGCATCAGCAATGACTATCACATAAAAGCTGAGGAGGAAGGTTACTCTATCTTTAGAGCAATTTTAGAGAACAGTAAATAAAGCACGAAGCTACACGTTACACATTGGAAGAGTCTTTTTCTAGTGCCTCATTAAGGATATATCTGTACAAGATACTTAGTTTGATCAGTGGAGGCAGTGTCCCTGCCTCCTTAGCCTAGGTGAAGCCTTATGGTGACAGGACCTGTATTGTTTCTGATGTATCAGTTAGTTTCATGGCAATGCAGCGTGTTGCATGGCTAGATCCTAAAAAGGGACAGCGTGTTCTGTATCTGGAATAAATCAGAGGCGGTGTGATCAGTTAGTTAAACATACAGATCTCAAAGTGGGAAGAATTCAAATTGTAATGATTAACCATAATTTTGTCATTTCC